TCGCGCACAGCGGTCTGGTGGTGTGCTCGCTCGCGGAGGAGGCGTATCGAGCGCGGGAGAGAGCCGCGGACGCAGAGATTCACATATATTAACCACATGCACCTCTATATTATGGCCACCTGTACATAGTGTTTCCCTCGCGCACAGCGGTCTGGTGGTGTGCTCGCTCGTGGCGGCGGCGTCTCGCGGGTGTGCGCCGTGGTCTCAGCATTTCGCCTCCGTTGCTTTTCCCCCGCGATCCGCGCATCTAGTGTCGGACTACATCTTCTGGGCGGACACGACGACCGGCTCGATCTCGCGCATCCGCCGCGACCTGACCTCGCGCGAGGACATCGTCAGCGAGGGCGTCGGGGCCGTGCTCGGCATCGCCGTCGACTGGATAGCCGGTGAGAGCGCCCTCTGTGTCTGTTGTTGAGCGTTCGGGGGTTTTCGCTTCGCCCGGGATGGAGAGGGTTGGTGTCGGTGGTTAGGTTACGGTAATAGTTGCAGATACAGCTGCAGTTACGGTCGCAGTAGCTTTTACGGTTGGTGGTGTTGCGGTTATAAGCCGTGTAGACATTTAAAGAGGGGGGGAGGTTAATAATGAAAAGGTGTTTATTTCGTGATGTGAGTTAGTTAATTACGTTTTACATTAATTTTTTTTATATTATATCAGAATTACGTCAGTTTTTTTTTACGTTGCATTACTTATGTGATTTTTAGTATGTTATGATATTGTTATGAATATTATTACTATTATGGATATTATTATTATTATTATTATCACTATTATGGATATTATTTTTACATTGCATTACTTATGTGATTTTTAGTATGTTATGATATTATTATGAATATTATTACTATTATGGATATTATTATTATTATTATTGTTATTATCATTATTATGGATATTATTTTTACATTGCATTACTTATGTGATTTTTAAAATGTTATGATATTATTATGAATATTATTACTATAATTAGTAAGTATTATTATTATCAGACGCGTACCTGGTCTGATATGTTGTTGGTGGGCTTCTGCAGAACACGTCTACTGGACGGACCGTGACCTTGGTCTGATCGAGGTGTGCAGGCTCAACGGATCGTCGCGATACGTCGTGCTGTCTGACCTGAGGCAGCCTCGCAGCATCGCCCTGCACCCCGTCGCAGGGTACGTACGCGCGCGTCCGTCCCCCCCGTAACAATCCTGGTATGTATATGTGCTGCTGTCTGATCTGAGACAGCCTCGCAGCATCGCCCTGCACCCCGTCGCAGGGTACGTACACGTCTGTCCCCCCGTAACAATCCTGGTATGTATATGTGCTGCTGTCTGATCTGAGACAGCCTCGCAGCATCGCCCTGCACCCCGTCGCAGGGTACGTACACGTCTGTCCCCCCCCCCGTAACAATCCTGGTATGTATATGTGCTGCTGTCTGATCTGAGGTAGCCTCGCAGCATCACCCTGCACCCCGTCGCAGGGTACGTACACGCGCGTCCGTCCCCCTGTAACAATCCTGGTATGTATATGTGCTGCTGTCTGATCTGAGACAGCCTCGCAGCAT